GACTGCAAAGTCAGTTTGAACCACAAGGTTGGAAGTTCAAGCTCACCAGCCGCTCCTGGGAAACACAGTACAGGCTCTCTATGGGTCGGAACTGACTTGACAGCAGCTAAGAACAATGACAAAGGCTAATGCATCAAAACTACTCTTTTTTTTTTTTTAACTTTTTATTGTAAATTAAGTGAAGGTTTCCAGAGAAGATCATGTGTCTTACACTCAACAAATCATAATTGTATTTCATCTCAATGATTACAATCCCCTCCTTGTATATTTCCATTCTCTTTCCCATCCCTTCTCAACTAGGTCCTTAGGTAAATATTGCCCTTTTGATCTTGAATGATTGACCGTTCCAAGGTGAGCATGCCTTACTAGTGCTGTTGGTCCTCCCCTTCTCTCCATAAACCTATCTATTGCTTGGTTGGAAATTGGGCCACGAGGTTAAGTTTTGATCCAGAACTGAAGGGTGGTTGAGGGCCAGAGGTCTGAGCTGATATAAGGCGTCCTCGTGGTGCTGTAGGATAAGCACTGGACTGTTCATTGATTACACTCACTGCCCCCTAATCTACCCTTTCTAGTTGTAATTTTCAGTTAGATTCCATAGACAGAGTTCTTTAAAAGCACAGTGCTCAAGGCAGACATTCTGTACTAATGAAGGTAAATTATTGTTTGGTTTTAAAGAAGACTTCAGTGAATATATTTGGTTGACGTTTTAAGACTTAAAGATTATCTCAGGGCAAAAGTTTGGGTGGTTAATCTGGTAGCCTCGGTGGCTCTAGAAAGTCTACATATTACAAGAATTTGAAATTCTGTTCCGCATTTCCCCCCTTTTGATCAGGATTCTTTTATAGACTCATTGATCAAAACATCAGAAATGGCAACTGGGTACCCTCCAGTTATGGTCTTATGGCAAAGAAGGCAGGTTGTTTGTGGAGGTAATCTGCCACCATGCTGGGATCTGAAGTTTCTAGGGTAGAGCAGTTTAGCATGATGACCAGGTCTAGCACATGACCATGGGAGTGGGTGTCTACAGTTGGGTGGACATCAAGTTTCAATGTCCGGTGTTGAGGAAGTAGACATGTGTGGATGTGCAGGCTCTGGAAGTAAAAGAGTTTGCAAACAATGAACCAAATCATCCCTTCCACAATCCTGATACTCAGCTGGGTTTGAAATCCATTGCATTGGTCACACGAAACTCAGACACCAGATTCAGAATTACGGCATTTACTAAGGAAGTAACAGGTTACAATTTTGGGTCAGAAATGTTTAGGACACAGTTGTTCCAGTCAGCTGCTGATAAATGTTCACAGGACACAGTATCCCATCACAAGCCTCAGCCTAAAGGCACTGGGCTCTAGCTCCATGAGTCAGCACACCTAACTACCCCTCTTCTTGCCAACAGTCCGTCAGCTTGACTTGCTCCGTGGGCTGGGAAGCCCGCTGCTCGGCCTCATGCTCTGGTTCTGCTGCCGCTGCTCCTCTGCCCCTCCTCCTTGTCCATTTTCTGTCCGTGAGTCAAGGAGGTCCAATGTGCAAGAATCCCAGGGTCCAAAGGACGTGCTCCAATCCTGATTATTCTTCTCTGATGGTCGTGAAATTCTCCCCTCCTGCTTCTGAGATGGCTCATTTTATGCCCATGCTAGAGGTTCAATTTTTTACAGTGACAGTGACCTCTGCTGATGTCCACAGCTGAATCCCGTCATCCTGTCAGCATCCTGTCAGCAGGGCAGAGACGTTGTTGGCTGGGCGTTACAGACCATGGCTAGAACAGATATTAGATAATTCACACACACCACAGTGTTGAATGGCAACCCATACAGATTCTGAAGCAGATAAGGGCAGATGTGTGGAGGTCTGAAAATGACCTGAAGGAGAAGGAGCAGATGGCAGAGACCTCAAGGTTTGCTTGAAGTCTTGCTGTGAGGAGTCTGGTCTTGGAAATCTGGGAAAATGTTGTCACTGGTTCCATGTCTGTGTTGAAGCACAGACACCCACCCACCATGAATGATGATATAGCATCTTCACATTTCCAGCGGGGAGGGCAGGAGGTGTAGGCAATTCAGGGATGATGAAAGGAAAAGATCTGACCAGAGATAGCAATGCTACGTAATCAGTTCTTTATTGGGGCTGACAATGGACAACTGAATTCAGGGGATTTTCTCCCATGGCAGGTGGTCTTCTGTGGTACTGGGGGTAGAGAGCCACCAGAAAGATAAATGGGTACGGGGACCCCAGGGAAGAGGAGAGAGCGGTGGAACCTTACATAGGCAGTGGTGATGTCCTTCTGTGGCAAGATGGGGAGTCTCTGGGTGACAGTTCCATAGCCAGTAATATCTTAAAGTTCTTTTATTTATTTATTTTTTTAAAGTTTTTATTGTGATTTGAGTGATAGTTTACATGGAAGAACATTGGTTTTACACTCATCCTATCATACGTATTTCGTTTCATTGCAATGATTACAATCCCCTCCGTGCCTAATCATTCAACAGGATTTGCTTCTTTCTTTTCCTTCTGTTTTGTTTTGTTTTTGAATGTACACAAAAACACTCAGGAATATATAATCATTTAAACAACCAAAGGGCACAATCTGTAAGCCTGCCTCCTGGCTGCCGGTATACAGCCTTTCTCTTTCCATGAGTTTGGAGACCTCAGCTGCTCCCTCTCTCCACATCCTCATCTCTGCCTCCATCTCTGGTGTCGCTACTTCTCTAGATAGGGTCCCACATTCTGCTCATGCTCTTCTCCCTTGATGGTCCTAGGGTCCTCTGTTCCTGGACTGTACATCTTGGAGTTCTTATAATCACTTCCCTGGGATGAACAGTGCTGGGAGAAGTGTTGTTGGGTATGTGTAAAGCAGGCAGGCTCTCAGGGGCTAGAAAATCTGCTTATTTAGGCTATTTTAAACACAATTGGATGTTTACCATTTGAATTTGGCACTAGTAGGCTTTTTTTGAAGTCCTGGTGTGGTGCTGTGAGTTAATGCACTGGACTGCAAAGTTGGTTTGAATCGCAACATAGGTGGTTCAAGCTCACCAGCCGCTCCTTGGAAACCCTATACAGGGTCGCTATGGGTCAGAACCAACTCTACAGCACTTAACAATAATAACAACAAGAAGGCTTTTTTTTGGGAATCCCAGTGTGGCGCTATAGGATAAACACTGTGCCACTAAATGCAAGGTTAGCTGTTCAAACCCACCAGCTGCTCACTGGAAACAGGGTTGCTATGAATTGGAACCATCTCGATGGCACTTAACAACAAGGTGTTTGCTATGAAAACATGAACAGCATAGGAGCAAGGCACAGACCAGCTTCGGCTCAGGAACAGAGCATGAGGCAAGCGTCAGAAGTTTCCACAGAAAAGCTTTGGTGGAAAATAAATACTTGCCCATCTATTTCTTATACCAGGCCTTATACCAGAGTGGCATCAACAACTTTGTGCAAAGACTCTGTTATCTTTGAATTGCATTTTTCCACCCACTTTGTGAAGCCCCCTCATATGAGGAACCAGAACGACATTCCGAATGACATTCTGGGAATGCAGTGGATTACTGGGGCGGGGGTGGGGAGGTGGGGAGGAGTGACACATTGCAATATGGGGGCTTATGACATCATCAGGGAGTGGTCCTGACCGATGACAGTTGCATGTCTGTTCCAGGCACTGTGCTAAGATCTTTACTTAAATTATTTTTATTATTTCATCCTCCCCATAATATGGGAAAAAGCGCAGAGAAAGCTTGAATCCCCATAATTCACACCACCAACATGACAGAGCTGGGGGTCACATACCCTCTCTAAGCAATATGCTTCCCTGCCTTGTTGTGGTTGTTAAGTGCTGTTGAGTCCGTTTGGACTCATAGCGACCCTGTATAGGGTTTCCAAGGAGTGGCTGGTAGATTTGAACCACCAACCTTGTGGTTCAAACCAACCTTGAGGTGGAGTGCTTATCCTACAGCACCACACCAGATCTCCTTTTCTTAGTGGTTGCGTTTTGTGGGAAGAACACCTTGATAGAAGCATAGGCTACGTGTCTATGTCCTTGGCGCCCACAACTTCAGCACCATGGTCAGTTCCTAGATGAATCTAGAAGACCTGCAAAAGGCTTTTTCACCATGGTAGTCCATGTGGTCATCACGACTGGTTCTACTTGAGTGACTGGAAACACAATAGCTCGTTTGGTGTCCTATTGAAGCCAGGGTCAATATGGTACTCATTTTGGAAGTGAAGGCCACATAGATGGGGCACCGACCCACCCATCATGTCTTCTGTCTGTCATTCTTAGGGAAACAGTAAGTCCATTGGTCCATGGGCTGCCTGTAGACCAAGGGCCATTTTCCTACAGAAACAATGATTGTCCTTGAAACAAATCGTATAAACAAGATGAATCCAACAGAAGTAGCAAACAGGGTGAACTAAGGATTCTGTTTCTCCATTAGGGAAATCAGAATTAGAGAAGTAATTGCCTCAATTTGATGCAATTATCCTTTGGGGTGTGGGCAAGCAGTCAAGGGTAGTGGTTAGGAGAATTGCCCCCAAACCAGACCCATGTGGGTTGATATTCCAGCTCTGTCACACACCAGGCTGTGTGGTTTCAGGCCAGTCAGCCTTGCCAAATCTCAATCTCTTTTTTTTCCCCCACATGTAAGGATTTATTAGAGGTCAGAAGGAAAAGAGCCAAATCTCAGTTTTGTCAACTGTAACATACTTACCTGAGGGTTGTAGGGTCACACGAGAATGTGAAGAAACCATCAGTGGGAGAAAATGAGCATTGATAATAAAGCTTCCACGGCTTCCGTAGCTATTTCTTAAATTATACCTAATACATATGTGTCCTTAAGGCAGACTTTTCTTAGGGGCTAGTGTGTTTTGCTGTTGCTAGTTACTGTAGGGCACAGTGATTGGATACCTAATACACTGATTAAGTTTTAGCTTAGACTAGGTAGATTGCTTCTTTGCTAACAGAAGTCCTTTCTTTCTCCACCTCCCTGTTTTTTGTTTGTTTGTTGCAGGGGGAATTTGACGGGGTCCTGAGAGAGGAGGTGGTGGCTGAGGCACTGCACAAATTAGGACGCTCCGGCGGTGGCACTGAGCAGGCCTACCTCAATGTAACTTTATCCGTAAGTATCGTAAAAGGACTGCTGGGTTGATGACGTATTGGCACCAGCTGGATCGTATCCATTTTCTCTGGTGCCCATTGTTTTTGTGATGGCCCAGGACCTCAGAGTCTTGCTTTTGATGGAAGTGGGTGATTAGAGTTATTTATGCAAAATGTTGAACTTCAAGGATCCCTGGCCATTTCAGTCATTGGTCTCCAAAGTCCTTTGTTTTGATTCCCTTCACACTCTTTTTCTTTCGTCTTAAGGAGTCTACATTATAGTAATCAATCCTGTCTTACCAGAAGGTTGAATTTGATTCTGCAAAAGCAATCAAAAGCGCTTTAAGAATTTTGTCTCTGATCATTACAAGAAGGCCTAAAATTTATGTCTGAAACCAAGGGAATAAAGTATTCCAATACTGACTTTCTACACTCCATACGTATATCAAGATATAAGTAGCTGTGGGCAGCATCTCATTTTCCAAGATTCCTCTTATTAAAGAAAACTATTTTATTGCTATTCACCGATTTTCAAGATTTCCATACTAGTCGGAGAGTGGTTGCAAAGACTCATGTCTCTGATTTTGTTCTTAAGTTATAAGAGCAGAATTCTCAACGTACCTTGCCCTCTTTGCTCAATTTGTTTCTCTATGGTTCTAGAAAAATCATTTTTCTCCCCTCTCTTTACTTCCTTTTATTGTTGTTGTTGTGTGCCACTGAGTTGGCTGTGACCCATAGTGACGTCCCCATGTAGGGTTTCTGAGACTGTAAATCTCTATGGGAGCAGAAAGTCTCTTCTTTCTCCCATGGAGCGGCTGGTAGATTCAAACTGCTGACCTTGCAGTTAGCAGCCCAGCTTGTAATCCTTTTATTCCTAAGCACCAAATCCTTTTATTTCCCTTTATTTCTAAGCATCAGATATTGTTTGGCGATCCGCAGAATGAGTGCAGCTATGTGGGTGAAAACCACGCCGGCATTAGCAAGGGTGCTATAATTTGGCTGTTTTTTTTTACTCAGACTCGAGGTGGCATGTGTGTGCATGCATGCGTGTGTGTGCCCGTGTATGTACGTGCCCGTGCGTATGTGCAGAGTTCAACGATTCCATAGGATGTCCAAAGCCATGATCTTTCCAAAGCCATGATCTTTCAGAAGCAGATCTCCAAGGCTGTCTTTTTTTTTTAAAGTTTATTTTAAAAACTTTTTTTTAAAGTTTATTTTCTAGGGTGGGTATACCCAAGCTTTTTTTTTTTTTAAGTTTTCATTGTGATAGTTTACATGGGAGAATATTGTCTTTACACCATCATTTCATTGCAGTGATTATAATCTCCCCTCCGTGCATCACTATGCTACAATATTTGCTTCCATTCCATTCCCTTTTTTTTTTTTTTTGTCGATGGCGGTTGGTGCGGGGATGCACACAGAAACACTCAGGAATATATAATAATTTAAACAACCAAAGGGCACACTTTGCAAGCCTGCCTCCTGGCCGCCAGCACCCAGTCCCTCGCTTTGCATGAGTCCAGAGTCCTCAGTTGCTCCCTCTCTCCATGTCCTCATCACTGCCTCCATCTCTGGTGTCACTGCCCAAGCCTGTCTTTTAAGGCGCCTCTGAGCAGGTTCAAGCCACCAACCCTTTCACCACCCAGGGTGATAAAATTTGCTGCAAGGCTCTCCTGATCTGGGTCTCAATTAGTAAACGATCCACAGAATATCAAGTTCTTTTTGCCCACGCTGGTTCCAGGCTTGTCTTTTGAGGATAGCACATTAAGGCTCTAATAATTCACTTTATGTTTGGGGTGAGTCAGCAAGGCAGGCAATTACACTGAGAGCCCCATGTGCATCACATATGGAGGCATCAAAACGGTATAAACTCCCAGCAGCTGACACACCACATATATCCCCTTTCCATCTACATTCAGCTTCTGTACGCACAGTGCCCTGCGTTCAATTGATCTGCAGAAAAAGCAATCCTTTAAATCTTATTTCAGCTAGATGGGCTAAAGCTTAACTTATTTTGCCACTGACCTCCTTACATTTGAGATATTACATGTTGAATTACCTTGCCTTAATAACCTGTCTCTCAGAATACAATTTCTTAGGATGGCCTGGTTTGGTGATTTTTTTTTTTTTTTCTTTCTCCCTTTATGTCTTACTTAGGATATACATTATTTCTTGCTTTTTCTGTTTGCTCATCTCCATATCTTCTCTCCTGCCTAAGTCATCAGTTTCCAAAGGGCAAAGTACCTGTGTCATCACTACATTTCTTCTGGTGTCTTTGTAGCTGGGATTTATTGTTGTTCCTATATTAAACAGTCCTACCATGGTGAGTCACACAACGGCCAGCCCAGAAGTTGGTTCAAACCCACCCAGAGGTACTTTGGAAGACAGGTTCAGTGTTCTGGTTTCAAAAGGTCACAGCCGGGAGAGCATTATGGAACAATTAACAACAATGGCTAACATCACCACCATTCTGTTTTTATATTTAAGAACTTGGTTGTAATGACTCTTCTTTGGTGGGCTTCTTCTGACTCTGGGATTGCAGCATAAAACAGTATGTCCCAAGGGACCACATTCCCCTCAGATCCCTCTTGAAGTTGATTAGAAGCAGGATTTGGTGGAAAGAACTTTGGGTAAGGATTCAGGAGACTTAGGTTCCTCTGTGGTTGTTGTAGTAGTCCTGGTGTGGCGCTGCAGGATAAGGCACTAGACCGCAAGGTTGGTTTGAACCACAGGGTCAGCGGTTCATACCCACCAGCCACTCCTTAGAAACCCTATACAGGGGTCGCTATGAGTCAGAATTGGCTCAACAGCACTTAACAATAACAACAACAAAATAGCTATTGTTGTCTGATTTTAGGCTATTCATAAACCTCTCTGTTCCTCATGGAGTCCCGGTGTGTCACTGTAGGATAGGCGCAGGAACACAAGGTCGGTTTGAATCACAAGGTCAGTGGTTCAAACTCACCAGTGGCTCTGGAAACCCTATACTGGGTCTCTATGAGTTGGAACTGACTCAGTGGCACTTTAACAACCACAACTGCCTCTCATAAAGGAGCTTTGGTGGCTGTGTAGGATAAGCAGTGGACTGCTAACCTCAAGGATGGCAGTTCAAACCCACCAGCCGCTTGGTGGGAGAAAGATGAGGCTTTCGTTCGGTAAAGATTTGTTGATGTAGGTGCTGTTGAGTCGGTACTGACTCATAGTGACCTTATGCACACAGAATGAAACCCCGCCCGGTCTCACCATCCTGGGCCAATCTCATCATTGTTGCCCTCCTTGAGCCCATGGCTGCTGCCACTGTGCCAGTCTGTTTTGTTGGGGGTCTCCCTATTTTTCTCTGACCCTCCACTTTACCAAGAATGATGTCCTTCTCCCGAGACTGGTCCCTCTTGATGATATGTCTGAAGTATGAGAATCAAAGTCTGACCATCATGGCTTCTATGGTACTTTCTGGCTGTCCTTCTTCCAGTACGGATTGGTTTGCTCTTCTGGCCTCAGAAATCCTGTGCAGGGTTGCTGTGAGTCAGAACGCATTCCATGGCAGTGCCTTTGGTTTAGGGTTTTGGTCTGCCCTTCATAAGGTACCCTGGTGGTGTGAACCAAAAGGTCTGCAGTTTGAACCCACCAGCCGCTCCGCAGGAGAAAGATGTGGCCAGCTGCTTCCGTAAAGACCGACCACTTCGGAAACCCTGTGGGGCAGCTCTGCTCTGTCCTGTAGTCAGAATGGACTGGGTTTTTGGTCTGCCCTCACATGCCTCATCTCTAAATTGAGGATAATCGGCTCTGCTGCTCTCACGGGTTTGTTTGATCAAGTGTGACAATCACCACAGAACTTTGCAAATTAACACCATGAAAGTGTAGCTTCAGGTATTGTTAAGAATGGTCTCCAGATTACTGGGGACTTGAAAACTTCATTTAAATTCTAGGCATTTGCTTTTTCTTTGTTTTCTACTAGACAAAGAGCTATTGCTATCATATATACTGTTGTTAAGTGTCATTGAGTTGGTTCCAACGAGCCGCTGGTGGGTTTGAACCACTGACTTTGTGGTTCCAAGTCTAGTGCTGATTCTACAGTACTACACCAGGACTCCTGTTTTATATATGTATATATGACAGATGAAGCTTTCTGCTCCCACAAAGATGTACAGCCTCAGAGACCCTACACAGGGTCGCTATGGGTTGGGACCCTTAACAACAACGAACATATATATAATATAAAATGCAGCTTTCAGGTTCCCCTGAACGCCACCTTAATTCGCATTTTCACAACACTGATTTTTCTAAGCATTGGTTTTTTGTTTTGTTTCAGAGGAGCACATTTTTGGATGGAGTCTGTAGTCTGTCTTGACTTCCTTTTAGAAGTAGGCTTCTGATTCTGCCTTCTCATTTCCATGACACTTTCAAAAGACATTCTGAATTTCTTTCTGGCAACTTTCCAGATATTGAAAGCAGGCGGAGCTGTACCTGGTGAAGCAATATTAACGCCTTTTCCCTGTTATTTTCTCAGGGCTGTGCTTTAGTGGACGTCAGCATTCTCCGTGGATATGTTCACCTGCAGAAGTTGGATCTTTCAGTAAATAAAATTGAAGGTATGTAATCACCACTCTAGTAAATTGATGGATCACAGAATGACTTCACAATTTAAACTTTTAAGTATGCACGATCATGGTTTTAATACCGCAGAACTTGATGCAAGCGATAATAGGCATCAATTTGCACACGACTCTTCTGCTTTCCATGAGAAAATGAAAAGGCAGCAGCGACTGATAAGCGAAGACAAAGGCAGACGTTTGCCAATATGCAATATTATGCGATGGTTGCCATGTAGTGAGTGATATTTAAGAATATCAGATGGAATCTTTATTTTCTCCTTTGAAGGGATGGATCTTTGTTTCTTCAGTACTTTGTGATGGTTGACTGATTCCCTTTTCTTTTCTCTACTTCTGCTAGTTACTTGAGGGGCCCCTATGTGATGCAAATGGTTAGACACTTCACTGCTAACCAAAAGGTTGGCCGTTTGGACCCACCCAGAGGTACCTTGGAATAAAGGTCTGGCTTTCTGCTTCTGACAGGACACAGCCATAAAAACCCTATGGAATCGCTCTACTCTGCCCGCATGGGTCTCCGTGAGTCAGAGTTGGTGTGATGACAAATATATATTTTTCGTCTTTTAAAAAAACTAGTTATTCAGTATAGATGAATTAGTCTCCACCCTCTACTTTCCTTTTAGGGATATTTTTGTTTTGTTGTTGTTGTTTTTTTGTATCTACCTTTTAATTCTGGCTAGATACTTCTTTTCTTCCTGAACACCAGGGATCCTCAAATGCATTTGTCCCCCCTCTTTTTGCTTCCTCTATCTATGTAGTTGGTTCTTTCTCTTCTAATAGCACTGTATGTACTTGTGTGCATTGTGGTGCTGTAGGATAAGCAACTGGACTGCAAGGTCAGTTTGAACTGCAAGGTCAGTGGTTCAAACTCACCAGCCGCTCCTCAGAAACCTACAGAGGGTTGCTACGAGTCAGAACCAAGTCAATGGCACTTAACCACAGATTAGTTATGAAAGCCATTCACAGTTAGTAAAGTTAGTCGGACACTTGTCACATTTTCTTCAAAGCTTGATCGATCTCTGTACCTGGTTTTCTGGACTTATTTGAAATTCACTGTATATAATTTTTTTCCTCTAGACTTCCAGGAAAAGAAGCAAACCATGACTTCTGAGCTGTTCTCTTTACTGATCGTCTTTCTATTTGTGTCTTGTTTTCTTCACACATGTTGCCAACAGGGTATTTTCTGTCTCATGTTCTGATTTTGTTTTCTATCTATGACACCGGTAATGAAAATCTAGTCTTTTCAATAACTAAGAAACCATCTGTTGTTATTGCTGTTGTTAAGTGCCATAGAGTCACTTCCGACTCATAGCGACCCTATATAGAGTTTCCAAGGAGCAGCTGGTGAGCTTGAATCGCCGACCTTGAAGTTCAAAGTGACTTTGCAGTCCAGTGCATTAACCCACAGTGCCACACCAGAAATGATTTTGAATATTTGAATCCTTCAAATGCTACTTACTACCATTTTGAAAGACTTTTGTTTTCTTCTCCTTTTATAAAACTTTGTAACAGAGCCTTGTATATACAAGCACTGGCAGAGAGAAGAGTATAATGAGCTAATCACTTGGCTTCAGGCACGCATCAGCCCCTCTGTAATTTCCTTTCATCTTTACCCTCTCTCCTCCCCTTCCCCAGGGTTATTTTAAGCAAATCCCAGATATAGCATTAGAAAGACATTTTCAGTGTTGTCTGTAGGAGCTCTCATCCCAGATGCCCCCCTCCCCATTCCAAGATTGCTCTCATTTAATGGATAAGAAGATGCAGAATGGAGTCATGCTTTAGTTACATCCAGTGCTAGGAGTCTCTTGGCGACACAAATTCACTTTGCTAACCAAAAGGTTTCTTATTCCATTCCAATCTGAGGTTCCTGAGAAGAAACGCCTGGCAACCCACTGCTGAAAACCCAGGCGTTGAAAACGCTGTGGGGCGCAGTTCTATTCTGACACACACGGGGGCGCCATGAGTCAGAAGCCACTCAATGACAAATGGTAACTGGTGATCCTAGAGTGCAGAGAAAAGAGGTCAGGCTGGACCCTTGTTACTCAAGTAGGAGGCCCACAGCTGTGATTCTTTGTGGCTCAGACCGTTCTCCTGAAATGTGAGATGAGCCAATTCAGGAATTCATCCAGTGCTTGAGAGCCTTCTGTGTGCACAACCAGCGGACTCTATTCCGGCTCATAGAGACCCTCTAGGACAGAAGTTCTGTTTTTCTTACTGTGAGGATACTTTCACCTGCATCAGAATCACCTGTGTGCCTGTAAAAAGATTGCTGGGCCCGCCCCCAAAGCGTCGGACCCACTACGTCTGGAGAGGGCCTTGAGAACCTGGAGTTCTAGCCCCATGAACGCAGCGGCCCCTTTGAGAGCCACTGTTGCAGGCGCGAGGAGCTGCTGCCATCTGGTGGACGTAGTGCTCATTACACCGAGGAGGGAATGCATGCGTCCTGGTCCATGAATTGCTTTCCTGTTAGAATGATTTAGAAGCCTTGGCTATCTGCATTTCCTCATCCATTTGATAGAACTCTGCGGTACAGGGCTAATCTGCCCACAGAAAAGCCAGCCCCAGCCACTTGTGACAAACACCTTGGCTAAGTTCAGAGGTGACCAGTGGCCGAAGATTGTCGAACAATTTCAGCGTCTCCTTAGCTTTCCTTTCGCGCAGCCTTCTTCCACACACTCATTTGTTCCTCACCTAGGACGATTTACATCTAATAAAGAAGAATCACTGGAAGGCACCAATGATTAATTAAGCTTGGTGGCTCAGCGTCATACCGAGGTGCCTGGGAAGAAAAGGCCGGTGATCTGCTACTGAAAAATTCGTCATTGAAAACTCTTTGGAGTACATTTCTGCCCTGACACACATGGGACCATAATGAATAAGGGCAAAGGATATAGTTCAGCCCAGGGGAAATAAAGTAGACATTGGTGGAGAGTTTCTGGCATCAAAGACCCTTGAGGGAAAGATGCAGGAAGGCCCTCACAGTGTCTGCACACACTCTTGCCCCCACACTATCCCACACTCTTCATGGCAAATCCAACCTGCCTGGCATCTCCTGGTCTGGCTAAGTGTAGAAACTCCATTCTACCACTAGGGGCGCCATCCTGGAGCAAAAGAGGGCTTGGGGTTCTTTACGTTATTGTTTCCTGGTAGAGCCAAAACATCATCCCGGTCAGGTAAAGCTCTGTCTGATGCGTATTGGAATTCATCCTGCTGCCCAGAAGGGTGCATGCTGTAGATTGGCAGAGAGACAGAATAAGACTCCATAATTGTTACAGTCACCAGGGAATTTCATCATGAATTGCCTTTATTAGCTCAAAGTCTTCATCTTCGTAATCCTGGTTCAGACTATCTTCTTAGGATACAATGCAAAACTCAGAGGCATTTTCCAACCCACCCAAACTCAAAGCACAATAATAGCAGTGATTTCAATCACTTGGAATAATTAATGGAATGTATGCCGTTGTTAAATGAAGACAAGCTCAATTCACAACAGACAGTTCTCTTCATGTGGTGTTTTCAGTCTGCCTGAGAAAAAGAGAATTCTGTTAACTCGGAGCTAATCATCAGGAGGAGTCCTGGTGTAGCACTGTAGGATATGACCTATAACCACAAGGTCAGCGGTTCAAACCCACCAGCTGCTCCCTGGGAACCCTATACAGGGTCGCTATGAGTTGAACTTACTTGATGGCACTTAACAACAACAATATCAAGATTATTTAGGGCCTTTGTTTTCCATCCTCTTCTTTGAGGTCAACACTTTCTGATTCATTGGGCCTGAGCGTAGGTGGAGGACAGGGCTCGGGGAAGCTGCGGTGGCCTCAGGATGTGGGTGATTTGGAGAAAAGGGTTCGAGCGCAGGAAGAAGGGTTTGCTTTTGGTTCAAGGAGAGTTTTCCATCCTTTTTTGGGGGGCGGGAGGCGCATATATTTCTTATTGTTGTTAAGTGCCTTCTAGTCAGTTTCAACTCATAATAACCCTGGGTAGGGTCTCCGAGGCTTTTAAAATCTTCGCGGGAGCAGAGAGCATCATCTTTCTCTTGCGGAGCGGTTGGCGGACTTGAACTACGGAACTTGTGGTTCGCAGTCCAGCGCTTGTCATGTGGAGCTGCCATGCTCCCCATATTTCATATACTCCTGGTTTTTGATTTTTTGTTTTCCCTTCCCCCCCCCCCCATTTTTCACATTTGGATTAACGTGCTTTCATCTGGCTTGATGGAATGATATTCTGATGTCAACCATGCTGTTTTGAATGACTTTGTCTAATTTGTTCTGTTGGCTTATCCTAGTCTTTGCTTCTTTTCTCTCCCCTGTACCCCCAGATCTGTCATGTGTGAGTGGTATGCCTTATCTTCTAGAACTTAATGCTTCTCAGAATAAACTGACTACATTCTTCAACTTCAAGTCACCCAAAAATCTCAAGGTAGGCATTATCAGTATATGAATTGCATGTATATTGTTCTTAAGAGCCATTGAGTCACTTTGGACTCGTAGCAGCCCTGTATAGGGTTTCTGAGGAGTGGCTGGTAGGTTTGAACTGCCAGCCTTCAGTTAACAGCCCAGTATTTACCCTATGGCATCACACCAGGACTCCAATCGCAAATATGAGTGTTTGGAAATAGATCATCTCAACAGCACTGAAATAGAGAATTCAGCAAAAATAAGAGGTCAAGACAAATAGTGTTCATATCACAAATAAATAGAAGGACTTATAGATTAGAAAGGTGCGGTGGTATGTCATTGAATAGTGTTTTTAGGAAGGTTGGCTAAAACCTAGCTTTCAAACCCAAGAACTACTTTCTTTCCATGCCCTCTCTCCCTCATTTACACACTAATTATTATAGTTTTTATTATAGCAGGACCATTTCAAATCAGATTTATAATTGGGAAAAACTAAAAAAAAAATCTCTTGTGGCTGAAATTAGCAAAAAACCCTACGGGCACTGCCATTGAGTCAGTTCTGATTCAGAAAAACCCTTTGGGTCATAGAAGAACTCCATAAGGTTTCTGGGACTTTAAATCTTTACAGGAGCAGAAAGTCTCATTTTTCTCCCATTGAGTAGCTGGTGGGTTTGAACCTCCGACCTTGCAGTTAACAGTCCAAATGCTTAACCCACAGCACCACCAGGGATCCTCATGGGCTCCAGTGAACCCACTGCTGATGAGTAGAACCATCCATTAGGGCTCACATTGTTGTTGTTGTTAGGTGCCCTTGAGTTAGCTATGACTCATAGTAACCCTGTTCACAACAGAACAAAACACTGCCTGATCCTGCGCCCTCCTCACAATTGTTGTCACGCTTGAGTCCATTGCAGCTGCCACTGTGCCAATTCATCTTGTTGGGGGTCTTCCTCTCTCTTTACTGCTGAACCATGGGCTCAAATGTATCCAACTATTACTTGTTTTTGTGTAAGGAAAAAAAAATTACAATCTCCATTCTTCATTCTCTGTACTTACTCTTGCATTTCGGAACAGAAATAACCCCCCTTGGACAGTGGCAGATAGAACTGTGTACTAACTAGGCCGTGACATGGGCTGTCTCATGCATTGATGGGCACCCAAGTTCCCTGTGGGTGTTATGAATTAATGTCGGGATTCAGGACGTCTGGGGTGAGTTCTGACATCGGGATTTCAAAGAAGTCCTCAAGCGATGCTTTTGCTGCTAGTCCAAGGACCATACTTGGTGGAAAATTCTTTTATAAAAACAAAAAAAAATTGATTCCTGGTGATCCTGATTTAATTGGTTTGCATTAAATTCAGAACAGGAATGTTGGTAGCGCAGTGGTTAAGCACTCGAGGCTAACCTAAAGGTTGGTGGTTTGAATCCAGCAGCCACCCTGCAGGAAAGATGGGGCAGTCTGCTTCTTTAGGATGACAGCTATGGGAGCCCAAGGGTCAGTTAGTTCTGCACTGAACTATAGGGTCACTGTGAGTCAGAGTCTGCTAGGCGACCCTGGGCTATTGGGGGTTAAGTCCTGAGCTGTTAGGTTTGAAAGGCTCCCAGGTATTTCTAATGTGTTGACAATGGTGAGACCGATCCCCAGACCATGTGATTGGTGTTTGTCTACTGGATGTTGTTGGCATTGTTGTGTGCCATCAAGTTGGTACTGACTCATAGTGACCTTATGCACAACAGAATGAAACACTGCCCAATCCTGGGCCAACTTCTCAACCTTTGTTACACTCGAGCCCATTGCAGCTGCCACTGTGCCAGTCCATCTCATTGGGGGGTCTTCCTCTTTTTTGCTGACCCTCCACTTTACCAAGCATGATGTCCTTCTCCAGAGACTGCTCCCTCCTGATGATATGTCTGAAGTATGAGAGACAAAGTCTGGCCACCCCGGCTTCTAAGGAGCACTCTGGCTGTACTTCTTGCAACACAGATCTGTGTGTTCTTTTGGTGGTCCATGGTGCTTTTAAAATTCTCCTCCAGCACCACAATTCAAATACATCAATTCTTCTATGGTCGTCTTTATTCCCTCTCCAACTTTTAATCAAGAAGCACTGGTATACTTATTAGTCTTATTCACAAACCAAACGGACTTAGCTCTGAAGTGGTACATGGAGGTTGATACAAATATCAGGATCAGCTGGAATGAAGACTCTGGCTCTCCCTCTATCCATCCACTCCGCTCCCAGCCCAGCCCCACCCCCCTGCAAGACACCCTTCCCACTTGTCTCTTCTGTGGTTTCCCAGGTGCTCCTCCCTCTGAAGGAATAGTTGTTACCAAGGGAGATTCCTTTTCCCAATCAGCCACACCAGGGTCTGAGGTGTACGGCATGGAATCATGTGCTGCAGACTCATCAGGAGCTGAGTGTGTGGAGCTGCTTTGTTCTTGGTGGTTCCACAGCCCACATTCTGGTGGTTGGCTGCTCATAAATCGACCCTGACTCATGGCGACCCTATAGGACACAGCTGAACGACCCATAGAACTTCCTAGGTCACAGTCTTTGTGAGAACAGGTCGCCAGTTGAAGTCTCCCATTGAGCCTCAGGATGGGTTTGAACCGTCGATCTTTGCTTAGCAGCTAAGCACTAAACCTCTGCACCACCAATGTTCCTTCATTTGCCCCAAGCCCTATACAGTCAGCTGGGAAGATGGCCACTTACACCCCTCGGAACTAAAACAGTCCACAGCCACCGAGTCCATTCTGACCCATAGTGATGCTGTAGACAAGACAGAACTGCCCCCAGAGGGTCTCCAAGGTTGTCAACTTTTACGGAAGAAAGGGGCTCATCCGTCTCCGGAAGAGCGGCTGGTGGATTCGAACTGCCGACCTTTTGGTGGCAGCAGTGGGCTTAACCCACTGCGCCACTCACAAAAGAACATTCACACGGTGACCCCTTAACGCCCCAAGCTCTGGGAGAATTAAGAGCCAACACATCAGCAACTTTAGGGAAGTGGTTGGAACATGGTACCAGGTAATCAGGAGGCCAGCGCCGCATGGATGCTTTGTGAACAAGGGCAGGGGACATTGGGGCCGGCAGGTGTTTTCATTCATTGTCTGAGCTGATCCTCCCGGTAAACCTTCGAGGGCACTGTTACGCCATTATCCGAGGAGCATTAACCTACTAAACCTTTGCTGATAGGTGTCAGAGCTGGGATTCACCACGGGGCTGTGACCCCAAAGCCTGTACTGCTCATCAGTCATACCTGTGGCCTCTGCCCCGCCCTCTTTGAGGGAGTTCCTCTACTTGTTCATTTCCCACGTGGAACCCCGGCGCAGACGCGGCCTGAAGAGCAGGGTTCCGACTTGCACTCTGCGCATGTCCTTAGAGTACGTTTGTTCTTCGTGGAGGCGGATGCTAGGCAACGTGAACTTTATCCCTGAGGGACAAGGAGGGCACAGAATTGGATGCGGCCCTGTAGGAACGGACTATCCAGTAATTGTGCTTACTGGGGAATCTGTAGTGAACACTTCCACCTGGGTTTAGCCATGTTAACTGTGTGCTGAAACCCAGGTACAATTGTTCAATACAGATTCATAAACATGAGGAAGCCTGGGCCTGCCTTCTCACCGGAAGCTGTGCTTACTGCTTAATCAGGACCCCTGGCCCTGCCCGCGAATACTTAGATGATGTCATGAGCAGAAATGTGTTGCGGGAAAGAAGTCTGAATGAGACTGAATCACCAAAGCCCACATAGCTAGCAATATACCTCGACTCCATCGTTGGAGTTTTGCTTATTCTATAGACGAACAAGGAGCTCTGGTAGCGTAGTGGTTATGAATCGAGCTGCTAACCTGAAGGTCAGCAGTTCGAAACTACCAGCTGTTCCGCTGGAGAAAGATGAGGCTTTCTGCTTCGGTAAAGATATACAGCCTCGGAAACCCTGTACAGGGTCGCTATGGGTCGGAACCGACTCCAACAACAACAATATAGAAGAACAAAAAGTAAACATTAAACTTGTTTTCTATGATGTCAAACGGACTTCTTCAGTTATACTGCGTGTTTTGCTTAACTGCAATTTGTATATGCGTAGAAGTGTGCGTTCTGATTTTTTTTAAAAATGTAACTGTTTTATTTGCACATGACATGGTTCACATACTTGGATTCTAATTAGACTGGGACTGTGGGTTAGGCATTGAGCTGCTAACCTCAAGGTTGATGGTTCAAACTCACCAGTCAGTCACTCCACTGGGGAAAGACCAGGCTGTCTGGTCCCATAAAGGTTTATCGTCCTGACCCCACTCAGGGTCCCTGTGAGTTGGAATCGACTTGATGGCCAGAGCTTATGTTATCATTGACGTCACCATTTTTCTACTCTTGCTTTTTCAGTTGTTTCTAGAAATTTCTTTGTTTGTTGTTGTTAGAACTGACAATATTTAGCTTAACTATAAATGCTTAAATAAAAAGAATAAAAGCACAAAAATTTCATATTTAAGGTATTTGGCATTTAATGCATTGTACTTGGAGACCTGGTGTGGCTCTGTGGGCTAATGCATCAGACTGCAAAGTCGTTTGAACTGCAAAGTCGGTTGTTCAAGCTCACCAGCTGCTCCTTGGAAACTCTATACAGACTTGCTATGGGTCAGAATTGACTCAACGGCACTTAACAACAACAACACTAATCTTGGAGTCCTGGTGTGACACTATAGGATAAACACTGGACTGCAAGTTCAGTTAGAACCATAAGGTCGCCTCCTTGGAAACCCAATACAGGGTTGTTATGAGTCTGAACAGATTCGATGGCACTAAACAATAACAGACAGTAACCTTACAATGGGAAATGATTTGGGGATGGAATCTCTGCTTTAAAAGAAGATAAGAATACTTGCATAGTGCTTATGATACCATTGCTTGGCAGCTATTTAGAAAATTATTTCAGTGCACTCAGCAATTTACCAAGATTGGTGTTTCAAAAAACTTGGGATTTCTGTTTTTCCTTTTTTCCAAAAAAAAATCCCCAAACCTTTTTTGATTATCTTTCACTAGTAAGTGAGCAATTGAGCAAAGTTATTTAATTTTGGATATCTTTCATTGTGAGCAGGGTTCGTGTTTGTGATTGGAGACAACTGATTTTGCTGAATCTGCTTTCCTAAAATAGTCAGTGCTGAGAAAGGCTTGGAAGTTGAAGAGATAAATCTTGCAGATAGATCTCCGATATAATGCTGGCATTTAGTGGTGACTTGGCAGAATCGATTGAAGTAGGAATAGAAAAGGCAAAGATACAGGGAACCGAGTTACAACGTCTACATAATAAGCCAAGTGAATGCAGTTTCTGGGCATTTGAGAAAATGAAAGAAATTGTGGAAAATAGGGTGAAATTGAGGTAAATCCTGGAGGAAAATCAAGAAGGCTTAAAAGAAATGCTGAAAATGGAGCAAGAGGCTGTGGGCATTGAAGCCCGTAGCCTGTAGGGATGTCACAGCCCCGGAGGTTGGGTTCAGGGGGCTCCTTCTTAGAACCCCTCAAAGTGGACGGAGGAAGGTCCTCCTTCCAAAATGATTCAAGATGGATGAATGCCAGAACTTTAACATATTTTCAATATTGAATTCCAATGCTACACTCAGAAATAGATTTCCTCATGTGGTGAAAATGAAGGAACCCTAAAGTGTTGTCTCTTCTCTTTTTCTCACCAGAAGGTGGATTTTTCCTACAACCAAATTTCTGAAATGTCTGACTTGTCTGCGTACCAGGCGCTTACCAAACTAATTCTGGACAGTATCCTTTGAATGAGTAACGGGGGAGCTTGGCTGATATGCCCACTGAGGACTGTGAACCAGATGGCATGGGGTAATACCAGATCAACACTTTCCTGGAGATGCATGACACATTAAGTGATTAAGGATTGATATTCCCACACGAGAGAAGGTATTTTATTTACCAAGAAATGGAACTACCAATCCAGGCTTGCCAGGAGCGTCTCATACTAGAACCTTCTCCTGATCAATGGTTGTTTACCGTTCATTCTGAAATCAGATGAGAAATTGCATTTTCAATTGGTTTTAGCCCCATCTGAGATAAATGCACCACTTGAAAAATCTAGATTTTGTCTTAGGAAACCTAGCAGTAGCTGTTTTTACACTCATCTCTTTTTGAATAGCAAGTCTCTCTTTTCTTAGCGGGCATAGCGCCTCTCCAAGTCACTGCAACCTTGTGTATAGCACAACAAAACACGGCCCCGTCCCTGCACCATCTTCATGATTGTGGGTAGACTTGAGGCCACCGCTGAGGCCACTATGTCAGTCCGTCTCACTGAGGGTTTCCCTTGGTTACTCTGGACCTCCACATCCTTCTCTGTGCCTTGGTCTCTCCTCAGGACCCTCAGCATTCTATGAGATAATACTCTGCAGCGATCCATAGGGTTTTCATTGGCTCATTTTTAGAATGAGATCACCAGGCCTTTTTTCCTAGTCTGTCTGGAAGCCCCACTGACACCTGCCCACCGGATGATCTAGTGGCATTTGAAATACCTGTAGCATTGCTTCCAGCATCACAGAGCCCACACGTCATGGCAGCACAGAACACCGACCGACAGTGTGGAGACACCTCTTGTGCATTTTCAGTGTGCCTACAGACCAACACACACACACAAACACCAACAAACTTCTGATTAGTAACAGCTTCAAGAGCACCTGTATTACACAAACCAGGTGCCCATTCAAGCAGTATCTCCTAAACGGTCAACGTGCTTCAACTTGTCGAGCCAAAGGGGTTAATTGGGGATTTGTGAGTTGAATGAGTCTTCGTTACACCAGAGACCCATGTTCTCTAGGGGATAATGCAGCGGGCCTTCTCTTTCTCTGTATCTTGCTACCCACCTGAGGATTTGTGGGACAGCGCGGGGAATGACTTGATCACTTCTGGACACCTCCTTCCAGGGATGTGGCTAGGGCACAGCCTTCGTAACAAACTGAGCTGTGGAGGTGGATACACACTTTATTATTATTATAGACTTACAGAACAGGCCCCCAAACAGTGCTGAGTGTTCCCAGATGTTCTTCTAACTTTCTCTAGTGTGGTCATTGAATAATGAAATCTTACAGATGATTAGATCTGGTCACTCATGTTCTTTCTCTGGTCTGCAGTCCAGTCCAGGGCCCTATGTTGCATTTACTTCTTCTCTCTTTGTTTAAACTTTAAAATATTATATATTTTTTCATAATTCTCTCTTTGTTCAAAAATTTAAAAATTGTAATTTTTTATTGTGAATTGAGTGAAGGTTTACAGAGCAGATCATGAGTTTTTCATTCGACAAATCACACACTTTGTTTCTTCTCAATGGTTGCATTCCCCTCCCTGCAACAAGTTATCCTGCTTCCTCCCTGTGATTCCTGTTCCCATTCCGCTCTCCTTCACCACCTTTCTGAACTTTATCCATAGGTAAAGGTTGCCTTTTTGATCTCGAATGATTGTTGTACCCCCTATATAACTATCTACTGCTTGGAGGAAAATTGGATCATGATGGGTGAGTTCTGTTCCAGACCTGAAGGGTGGCCAAGGACCAAAGACTCAGGTTCCTCCTGTCTCTTTCTGACCAGTAACCCCAGTCTTTTCTTACAATTTAGGGTTTTGGTCCACATTTTCTCCCACTCTATCCAGGACCTTCTAATGTGATCTCATTCAGAGTAGTGGGCACCATCTAGTTCTTCTGGTCTCAAGAGTTATAAAAACTGATGTTCGCTTGGTCCATTGGTCCATTGGATTAATTGATTCCAAGGAGGTGCACTTTCTTGAAGACACATTTTATAGAACAAAACTCGATTCAAATATGGTGAGAAGCTTCACACATAGCACCTGTCCCTTCAGGACTTGTATATGAACTTGATCCATAGTGCGTGTTTGGATGATGTTCTTGAAATGAGCCAGTTCTTCTGAATGTGGCCCAATCAACTTGTGTTGATGACAAACTAGAACATTATCAGCATCTGCTCACAGAACTTTGGTTTTATGCTTGAGTCTCATAGAGATTAAAGTAGCTGTCTCATTACCCAGAAGCCCACTCACCCAGCAGCACGATCCGTTAGTTGTTAGTTGAGAAGACTAACAAACTTTAATTGAGGTTAAAAAGACTTAGTAAGATTACTAGAAGATGGGGATACCCTCAACTTGGTAAACGAACTGGAGACACTGTTTTGAGCGTTCTCCTTTAAAACTGATCATTGTTGGTGTTTCCAAAAACTTGAGGTTTTGGTTGTTGGTTTTTTCCCTTTTCCACAAAAATATTTTTGATTGTCTTTTGCTAGTAGGTGAGTAATTGAGCAAACTTTGTCTCTTCTATCCATCATTGTTTTGAAGGTTCTAGCCAACATTATAAAACTAGAGAAAGAAATTGGAGGCATAAAGATATTGGTAAAGGGAAAAGAAAAAGTCATTATTTGTAGATGACATGATTATCAACAGAGAATTTAAAAAATAACTTGAGGGAAAGTATTCTAGAAATAGCAGGGAGAGGTTAGAGTTTAGCAAGGTGGTTGGGGTTGACTTCAGTAAACAACACTTCATTGTAGTTCTGTACAGCAGAAGTCGTTAGAAAACACTGTTTTAAGAAGTCACCATTTATAACAGCAACAAAAACTAATCTTATTAAAGATGAATAAGACCAGTGGGGGGAGCATCATAAAACATTATTGAAGGGAATTAAAAACCAACACCAACCTATACAGGGTCTCTAAGTCAGAACCAACTAGGCCGCACTTAGCAACAACAAAGAAAATATATCCCACAATCTACTTAAAAAAGTAGGCCAACTATTTGTAAAAGAATTCTATAGAAAGTAACAGTGATAAAGCTAATAAACATATGGGGGGGGGGGGGGGGAAGCTCAAACTCATTTGTATTCAGAGAAATGTAATCCAGAACCACAGTGAGCTATTGTATTGTATCAGCTCAGTTGACAACATTTTAGAAATCTAAAAATACCAAGGGTTGGAGAGCTTGTAGCTCAGGAGGAATATTCTACACCTTGTGTGTAGGTATAAAATTAGTTCAACCACCTTGGAAAACGATTTCATATTATCTTGTCAAGTTGAGCATCCAATTCCCTTTGACTGAGCCCTTAAATTCCTGCGTAGGAACGTTTAGCATGTGTACCTGGAGGCTTATATAAGAATGCTCATAAGAGCATTGCTTGTAATAGCAAAAAGCTGAAACAACCCAAATGCCCGTTGGTGAGAAAACAGATAAATAAATGATGGTAAAGTCATACCATGAATATCATTCAACAGTGAAAATGAATGGAATGCATCTACATTTAGCAGTCAGGATGAATCTTAATAAAACTGGATCACAGAGGTTAGGTACAAAGAGGAAAGAGAAGGAGAAATATCACACTGATTCTACAACAGTGGTATCAATGAACAGGGTCACAAGGAATGGGGCAGGAGAGCTATGCACGAGAAGACTGAAGTCATTGTTAATGCTGTAGTTCTTGGTGTCAAGGAGACTATTTCACGAGTTTTCATTGTATTTTTAAAAAGCAAGTATAAGTGGGCCATGCTTAGACCAATGATGAGTCAGGGAGTAAGCTTAACCCAGTTCTACAAGGGGGCTTCAAATCATGGGAAACTCCTATTACCTTTCAATTCCATTTTTCCACAAACTTTTTGAAGCCATCTCATGTGTACCTGCATCCATTAAAAAAAAAAAGAAGAAACCTGAACTAATATCTTTGAAAGATAAATTGGAATTATTAATTTGTTTGAAAAACATTTAAAAGAAAACAAGATCAGTTCATTAAGCTACTAATAGCGACAGTGTGATTGTAGTAGGTTGTGTTGTATTAATGTCTCAATGAGTCATTAACAACTATAGGATATCGATTTGTTGAGTTTATCTTATTATGCTCTTTTGTCTTTCCTGATATGAATAACTTACAATTAATTAATAATCAGTATATTACAAAAGGAGAGACATTGCTAAGGATAGCTAAACCGATTTATCCTTGAAAAGGAATACACAATACACGTCTTACTTTATAAATATTGACGGGGTGTTTATTGGAATTGGTTTTACATTGATAGAGTCATGGCATTTAAAAAAAGTGATTCATAGAATTGTAAATCCAGAGATTGTACAGTATTGAGTGTGGCCAAGGACCCTGAGACCAGGGTGGTTCAGCAACTTACCCCAGGCTGATTGTGTTTTAACGTTTGAATGGAGAGACTAGTCTTCTGAATGCCAGTGTTTTTCCCATTCTGCATGCAATTCACTGAGTCATCTTCTCGTTTCTCACACCATTATTTATGCGGCATGCATGCTCCCTTCCTGGTAGAGATCCACTCCTGTCCTGAAGAACATCTTTCATAGGTGGGGTGATGTAGATTTTTTAGGATTGGTTTTGATTAAAACCATCATTGTGGCTTTCTGCACCAAGAGAATTGTGATGGATTCTTCGTTTCTCAGTAACTGTTTTCTATGCACCCAAGCCATATTTTATGTTTGTAGACAAATGAATAAGAGTGCATACTAAACCAGTGAATAATTCACGTCAAACACTGTAAACGACTGACAGCATTTCCCAAACATAGAAATATATTGTTGGACTTTTCCCTTTGTTATAACTGCTTATGTGCCACAGGCTTCCTGCCTCAGCTTCCACAGAGATGGAAAAGCCCTCTGTCAAAGATTTATGGAGACGTATTATAAAATACGTACCAGCTGAAATACAGCACCAGGATTTTGAGTTCTTGGAATCTCTCCTAGCAGTGGTCTTTTATATCAAATTAAAATATACCTAAGAGGATTAATCCCATAGGTTAATTCATAGAAATAGTTTAGTGATGTATCTCATTGCATTTTTTTTTTAACTTCTTATTGTGAATTGAGTGAAAGTTTACAGAATAGATCATCAGTTTTACATTCAACAAGCCATATACTTTGCTTCATTATATGGTTACAATCCCCTCCATGTACCAACAGTTAACAGCATTTACCTCTATTCCTTTTAATTATTCCATTCTTCCCTGTGTCTCCTGCTATCTTCATCTTTCCTTTGCTAACCTCCCTCTGGTTGTACATTGCCTGCCCTGTCACCCATGTAAACACGTGTTTACCCTCTAGTCCTGGTATGGAGCTATAGGATAAGCACTTGAACTCAGGGGTGGTTTGAACAGCAATGTTGATGGTTCAAACTTACCAGTCACACCTTGGAAACCTATACAGGGTCACTGTGAGTCAACCGGACTCCAGGACACTTAACAACACCATCCCTCTAGTCCATGAATAATTTTGCCTCACACCCCTCTAATCATCATTGATTGTTTATTTTATCAAGAAAATCTATTTTTTTAAAAAACCTTTTACAACATTTTTCTCATACAATATTTGTCCTTTTGTGATTGATTAATTTCAGTCAGAATTTTGAATTTTGTCCTTCAGGTTCAAACATGTTGTGAGGTATTTCACAGATTCATATTATTCTTCAAGGGTTTGTAGTATTCCATTGTGTGTTTGTAACAAAGCTGGTTTGACCATTCTTCCGTTGCTGGACCTTCAGGCTGTCTCCATCTTTTTGATATGTCTCTTGTACACAGCATATTGAAGGATCCTGTTTTCTTATCCATTCTGCTCTCTATGTCTCTTGTCTGGTGTATTTGATCCATTTATATTCAGTATGATTATCAATAGGTATGACTTGATTACTGTCATTTCTCTCTCTCTCTCTCCCTCTCTCTCTGTGTTTTGTGGTGCTGCTGGATTCTTTGTACTATATAATTTTCCATGCTGAGTTTATTTTGTTTGTAGATTTTAAATTTTATTTTATCATTTTCATTTTTGTTCTGTTAATGTTTACTAAATCTTTCTGATTTTCCTCTTTTTTTATTTTGATGTACAGGTATATTATTTTTCTTTATGGTTACCCTTTAATTTATTCATTTTTCCCTGCTTAAAACAGTCTGTTTTGTCTTAAAATCTACTTGACTTCCTTGCCATTTAGAAGTTCTGAAACTATACTATTCCCTCTTTTTGCTATGTAGTTGACTTCATTATACATTGATATTTCTGTTTCCCTATTTTCAGTCTTGCAGGTTTGTTTTACTTTAAATACTTCTCTATCTGGATTGAATTCTGGGTGGTGTTGTTATGAATGGTAATCTCAGGTTGGTGTCTGCTGCAGTTGGTGCTGTTCAAAGAACACCCTTTAGCATTTTTTGCGAAGTTGATGTAGTCATTGTAAATTCCTTTAATTTCTTCTTATCAGGAAATGTCTTAATTCTACAGTCCTCTTTGAGGGACAGCTCTCCTGGGTATGTGACTTGTGGTTGGCAGTGTTCGCATTTCTTATTGAAAAGTCCCAAGACTCCTGAGAGAACATGAAAGAATAGTGTCAGAAAGGAGGACAAGAAACAGTTTGGTTCGTAACTAAGACACCTGAAGACCAGAGGATAGGACACCTCAGTTCTTTTGTCATTGCTGGTAGACATCGTATAAGGTATTTGCAGGAGTAATGGGAAAAGGCATTGTGGAGAAATTTCTAAAGCCATATTTGATAAGGAGGATGGCAATGGTAGCTATAGACTTGTGATAGAATTCTAGCCTTCTATGCAGGAGACCTGGCTTCCATTCCCAGCCAGTACACTTCCCAGCAGCCACCACGCGTCTGTCCATCAGTGGAGGCTTGCAGGCTCCTATAATGCTGAGCAGGTTTCAGTTAAGCTTCCAGGACTAAGAGAGACAAAGGAAGAAGAAAGACTTGGTAATCTACATCTGAAAAATCAGCGGATGAGAACTCTTTAGCTCACACCTGTCCAGTCTGCTCTCTGGGATCACCATAAGTCAGAGACCTGTTAGCAGGTAGCAGCAACACACTGCTTAATGGAGAAGAGAATACTGTGGAATGAAAGTTGAGTAGAGAAGACTTTGAGAAAGAAATACTAGTTTCTGTAAAATGGTTACCAAGAAATATAAATGATCTTGTCAAATTGCCTCCAAAATGGCGATCTAATAACGAATGTTCTCACCCAGTAGTCTGAAAGTATCTGTTCTTCAAAACCTTGTATTTCAAGATGTTTGCCAAACTGGTGGGTGAAGAATGGCATGGCATCTTAATTTGCATTCCCCTGACTTCCTGTGTAGCTGAGTGTCTTTTCATATGTTTATTAGCCACTTGGATTTGCTCCTGTGGGGATTGCTTGGATGTATCCTTTGTCTATTTTCTATGAGGTTGTTTTTGTCTTTTTTTTTCTTATTAATTTATTGTCATTCTTTATGTATTCTAGATAGTAATCCTTTGACTACTACTATATGTTGTATGTTCTGCCAGTCTACCAGTTGTCCTTATTTGTAGTAATTAAAAAGTAATAAAAGAGAAACAATATGAAAATGAGGACTAGCTGTCATGATGAAATACTTAAAGATGTTGATTTAATATGAGCTTTGAAAAACAATAAAGAAGAAAAATGGAACCCCTGAATGTGTAGGGTTTAAAAAGGTGCAGAAAGATACTAAGAAAAAAAAAATGTACTGACAAGTAAGAAATTTCTTGGTACATTTGCAGATTATTGATTAGATGCTCATGGCAGAAATGGAGAATTCCTATTAGGTATAATGGGAGGTAAAGTTGGGTAATAAACAGTTTTTGCTTAGATTTGTTGTCAAGTTGGTTCTGACTCATAGTGACCCCATATAGGGTTTTCAAGGAGCAGGTGGTGGGTTTGGACAGCTGTTAGCAGTCTAGTGCTTATCCTACAGTGCCACACCAGGTTCCAAAGGATCATAATTGATGGAGTGAGGAATTTGGAGTTCATCATTTGGAAGCAGGATATTCTGGAGGTGTCTGATAGTCTGGCCCTGACCACATTGTGGAGAGTGAGTTGAAGGTAGGAAGATTAGGATATCAGAGGTACTCATGGTGTTAATGAAGATCTATGTTGGCAGAAGAGTAAGTAAAAAGGAAGGATGTGATGAAAAAGGATGTTTTAAGTGAAAAAAAATGTAAAGCCTGGCCTTGGTTTCTGATTGGATACCCTGAAGATTACATGTAACTGGGAGAATGGTGATAACCTACCATAGGCTACCTGGCTGAGGAAACTGGGCTTTGCTTAGGAAATGATATCAAACCATGGAAACCAGCCATAGATATTGAGGACAGAAAGAGATGAGTGGCATCAGTAACTTCAAGATTGGAATTTTAAATGACTATTAGGATGGTGCCCTGGTAGCACAGTGGTTTACACATTGGGCTGCTAACTGCAAGGTCAACAGTTCAAATCCACAGGTCACTCCACAGGAGAAAGATGAGGCTTTCTGCTCCCATAAAGATTGCCAGCCTTGGAAACCCTGTACAGGGTCTCTGTGAGTTGGAACTGATTCCACGCTGTGCAGCGGCAGCATGTGGATAGAAGACAGACGTTCTTAGCTAAAATTTTACCAATGAATGGAAGCTTAGTCAACCAATGAGGAAATTAAGGCATAATTTAAGCCTCCCTTATTTGAAGGGAAAAGAAGCCAATGTTGATAGGAAAGAAAGGGATATTTTTCTTCCTAACAGAGCGCTGGTTTTAGGACGACCTAGAACTCTGGTAGTGTTGTGGTTACAAATTGGGCTGCCAATCTCATGGTTAGCAGTTCAAAACTACCAGCTGTTCTGCGGGAGAAAGATGAGGGTTTCTGCTCCCTGTGCAGGGTCGCTGTGAGTCAGATCCGACTCCACGGTTCTTAACAACAACAACAGCATTTGCTATAGATGATATCTTCTGGTCACAGGATGATGGAGTTTGATTCATGTTGTATCTCAGGGAGAGCCTGAATTCAGAAATGCTGCCCGTGGAAACACATGCGTTTCTCATGGAGACCATGAACTAACAACCAAGGAGGCAACTGGGTCCCACTGTGTTAGTTCTGGTATTCTTTTCCTCATCGATGAAATAAATCCTTCCTGAACACACTCAAAAACGTTGTCTTTTTTTCTTTTTAAGTAGTGCTAGAACTCCTGGTGTGGCACTGTAGGATCAGCACTGGACTGGGAACCACAGGTTGGCAGTTCAAACCCACCAGCTACTCCTCGGAAACCCTATACAGAGTCATTTTCAGTCAGAACTGACTCTATGGCACTGGATAACAACAAAATACCTTAGAAGCATCTGGAAAGACAGGTCACTAGGAAAGAGTATTGTGTTTGGTAAAGGAGAGGGATGATGAAAACAAGGGAAAACTCCATGAGATTGGCTGACACAAGAGCAGCCCCTGGGTCATCATGGGATGGGAGCGGGAAGTGTTCCGCCCTCTTACCCACAAGGCCACCATGAGTTAGAGGCAGCTCAGCAACATCTGATATCAATAATGGTGGTGGTGGTGTGCTGGCGAGTTGGTTCTGGCTCACAGTGGCCCTGAATAGGGTTTCGGAAGCTGCCAACTTTCACTGAAGCAGAAAGCCTTCTTATTCTCCCATGGAGCAGCTGGTGTATTCAAATTGTTGACCTTGCAGCTAGTAGCCCAACACTTAACCCATTACACTACCAGAGCTCCCTAACAATAAGAGTATAACTTATAGTTTTAAGATTCAATGTTTTGAATGTTCATCCTGTGGTGGTAATTTAATGTTGTGTTATTTGCACTGTTTTCTGATTCTTTTCATTTTTTTTTTTTTTTTTCTTTTCTAAATGCGTTCAGTAACATTTTCCTTAAACACAGTCAATGTACAAAGGCAATGAAATTGAAGAAATCAAAGGACTAGAGCTATGCAGTAATTTAACTCACCTTAGCTTGGCCAAAAACAAGATCACGACACTTAATGGCTTAAGTATGTTACCAATCAAAATTCTCTGTCTGGTGAGTCTAACAAGAAACATTATTCTTTATAGAAGTAATAGTTAATGTTATAACCAATGTATGGATTATGATTACTTAGGATTTCTCAAATCTATGAATAGTTAATTTCTTTATGAAATGTTACCCTCTTCAGTTTTGTTCGCCCCTTTGTGTGTGTGTGTGTGTGTGTATATATATATCCATGTGTGTGTATGTGATACCGGTACATCTTCATGCTGAATGAAGTACAAAGATTTTCTAATTTGGTATCCAAAGTCAATTTTTTAAAAGACTGACTTTTTACAAAGAAAGAAAGGTATAATTTTAACAATGATTGAAAAATGCATTTTGCAATGCCTTATTGGTGAGAATAACATTTAAGCATAAAGTTTACTGCTGGTTACACTTTATTGCTTCCAAATGAGCCACCAGACATTCTCTCAGCACTGAATTTTGGCAGTTATTTTTGTATTAATGCACATTAAGTATTCCATTCTAGAAAACCCAAAGTTGTGCTGCGAATAAGTGAACAATTCCAGACAGAAAGTTTAGATCTGTTTATTTTTTTACCATGCAGAACACTTTTTTTTTCCCCCACAAGCAATGTGACATGCTGTATGGTTTGACAAAAAATAAAATAAAATACAAATAACTGATTTTAAAAAAATTCAGTAAGGTCACAATCTCAAAGATATATGCAATATTTTGAAAGGAGCCCTGGTATGGCACTGTAGAATAAATACTGGACTGCTAACCTCAAGGTCAGAAGTTGAAACCCACCAGTAGCTCTTCAGAAATGCTATACAAGGTTGCTTTGAATTGGAACTGACTTGATGGCACTTAACAAGTATTGTTCACTAACTGGGGAGCTGTTGTCTCTCATACTTTGGACATATTGTCAGGAGGGACCAGTCCATGGAGAAGAACATCATGCTAGGTAGAGTAGAGGGTCAGTGGAAAAGAGGACCACCCCAGTGAGATGGATGGGCACAGTGACAGCAGCAGTGGGCTCAAGCATTAACAACTGTGAGGTTGGCACAGGGCTGGGCAGTGTTTTGTTCTCTCATGCATAAGATTGCTATGAGTTGGAATCAACTTGACAGTGCCTAACAGTAATAACGTGATGGTTTAGAAAGAATTCTGGTGGTGCTGTGGGAGAAGCAATGGACTGCTGACCTCAAGGTTGGCAATTCATACTCAGCAGACACTCTGCCAGACAAAAGATGAGGTCTGCTCCTATTAATATATATGTGGCTTCAGACCCTATACCAAGTCGCTATGAATTGAAATAGACTTGATGGCAGCTGATTTGGTTTGAATTTGGTCATAGTTTATGGGTTATCTGGATTCTTTCTTCTTGTTTTCCTTCTGTCTCCTAAATCTTATTGTTGGGAGATAGAATCTCAAGCCAGTGAGGCTTGTTGTGCTTGTGTGCCACTGAGTCGACACCAGAGGGTTTCCTAGGCTGTAATCTTTACCATAAGCACTGGACCGTGAACCATGAAGTTGGTGGTTTGAACCCACCAGCCACGCCGTAGGATGAAGATGAGACCTTCTGTTTCCACAAAGACATATAACCTCAGAAACCCTATACAAGGTCACTATGAATCAGAACTGACTCGATGGCACTAACAACAACTGCCTTCACCAGGTCTTTCGTCCCACGTGCCTGGATGGGTTTGGGTCTCCAACATTTCAGTTAGTGACCAAACACTCAACCTCTGTGCCACCAGAGTTCCTCAGCAAGGCTTCTAGCTTATTAGCATCTTAAGTTGACTGTCCCATGGAAAGGTGTTGACACTCATGCTTGAAGTGACATCTTAGGGTTATCTGCAGATTTTTAACCAATACAATATACCACTACTGTCTTTATGGTTGGTTATGAGTTCATTTTTCTTTCCATGAACTTTTAGCTCACCTGATTTTTTTCTCTAGAACCTTCCTTCCTTCCTTACCATGACTTTGGTGAAGGTGGAGTACTGGTTTGCTAGTTCTGAAGATGGAGTCAAGGCATGGACACGTTTAATAATTCACCAGAGGTTGCATGTTTTCTGCGCATGAAAGCATGCTAGCAAAGCATGAATGAAAATGAATTTTGAAAAGATTTAAAATTATAAAGGGAAGTCGAAATTTTAAATGCTGATAAAGTGAAGTGTTATTGGCAGTATGAACTATTCATTTTCTAGTTTGTCAAAGCGGAGTCCTTTTCTGTACATATCTTCTCTGTGGTGTCCTGGTCATTAACTTTAAAAGTAGTATGACATGTGGAAAGAGCTACGCAGCTTTGCTGAAGGCAAGCAGAATCGACCTCATTGTTATGGACAGTGACGTATTAAAAACACAAAACCCAAACTGCTACCATTGAGTCAGTCCCAATGCATAGTAACCACATGGAACAGAGTAGGAAGAACTGTTTGTTAGGGTTTCTAAGACTACATGTAATCTTTCCAAGAGCAGACAGCCTCATCTTTCTCCTGAGGAGAGTCTGATAGATTTGAACTACCGACCTTGCAGTCCAAGACTTCACCCACAGCGCTTTGATTTGTGTTTGTTTCCATATCTCAATAAGCAATGCATGTTGACAGTTCTGCCTTAAGTAACTTTTAGAACAAGCATAACACTCTTAATTTTTTTCCAAATGGTTCCTGTCCCATCGTGCAATGGGGACTAGAGCACATACCAGATGCTTCGGCTCATCTGCCTTTAAAATATTTGAGAAGAGGGAAATTTCCTTCTGTAAATTTTGCTAAAATCTACAAAATGCAATGGTACACAGTTGTTGCGACAGTTTGAGATATTTGTGTGTGTGTGTACTTTTTGTAATGCATGGAATCAGAAAGCCAGTGACTTTAGTCACCATTCATTTTTCAATTCAAAAGAAAAATTCATGATAGAAACAATGGTTAATTCCCTGCCATCCATCTTTACTGTAAATGTAGTGGGAAATGAGGTTTGCTCTGTGAATTCCTCTGACGACCAGCTTCTTAGCAATGACAATGAATTTCCAGTTTTATTTGTTTTGTTTTAGTACAATGCGCTTGCCTTATTATTTGTTTTTCTTCCCCAATTTTCCTATGAAGAATAGTTCTGATTTCATTTATTTACGAAAACAGCTTCTCTCTAAAAGTCTTTCTCTCCCGATGATCATAAGACAAGCAGGAAGATCTCTTTAAGTAGCACCTGATTAGCCATGTATTAGAAGGATGCATCAGCTTCTCAGTGTTGGGTGAAGGCTTTGCCTCAATGACTGGCAACTCAAGAACCCTATAGTTCTGAATACTTCTCAGTTCTGATTTCTGTTGTGACCCTGGGCTATCTAATTAAACGTTTCCTTGCCTCTACTCACATTCATCTTCCACTTTGAAAGCCATCAGACACATTATAAAGAAGAATGATAGCCTATTGGACACATTTTAAGCACTTCAATGTTCTTTGGGAAAAAGTGTATTGTACATAAAATTGATGTGTGGGCATATTTTGAATAGGATATTGCAGTCTTATTTCAATAAGTTAAATTAATATGGATATTATAGGTATCCATATTTAATATAGTTTTTTTATTCCCTTTTCGATGATATGTTATATAACTTTGGACCTCTGAACAGTAGGAAATTTGACTTAACTTTGGCAAACAGAGTTATGACTATGTCTTCCTTTTCACAATGGAGTTTTTTCATGTACATATATCAAGATAAAAAGAAGGGTGTAATGAGTCCCCCATGTACTATTACACAGCTGATCAACATTCTGTTAATACATTATCAACATATATTATATTAAAGAGCCACAGAGTTATGTTAATAAAAATAAATCTTGCTCATTAGAAAAGTAAATTCTTAGGAACAATAGGATGACAATTAGCTCTTGCTATTAAATGTACCTGGAAACATATACCAGGGAAAATATTATAGATGGAAGGACAATATTATAATTTAATTTTCCAATTCTTAAATATATATTAAAAGTTTTAAAAGCTTAAGGATGGGCATAGCATAGGTCTTTACTGTGATTACCAACCATATATAAAGTTAAGCTGTACCATGACATATTCTTCTACATCAAGACTTAAGAAACCCAAAGAATGATATGAAAATGTTGGAAAATGTGCAAGAAAATGTAAATTATTATTATTTGTTGTTATGCATTTGTAGGGTTTGGGGAAGACAACAACATTTGAATCTTCAATCTTTCTTTGTTCTGTTCTGTTGTCTGGGAAGATACTCGTGTGTGAGTTAGTGAAGAAATTAGTTTGGCTGTATATTGTATATTGTAAAAATGCAGTAGCTAGAAAAAGAACTATTTTATTTGCTAGCAGTTCTGTGAGCTGAGCTGGCTTCAGCTGGTTCGGTCTCCTGCTGGTCTTGCTGCATTCAGATGGCCGATGGACTGGGCTCAGTGGAGGTGCTGGGAGGGCTGAGTTTTGCTATTAAGTCTCAGGCCTCTCTCCAAGTAGCCTTTCCACAGGGCTGTCTAGCAGGTAGCTGCTCCTGCATAGCAGCTTAGGGATCCTATGACACGAAAGCAGAAGCTGCCAAGTCTTAAGTCTTAGCATACTTCCGCCATATTCCTTTGGCAAAGGTAAGTCATAAGTCCAGTCTGGATTCAACTGGAGGGAACCGCACAAGAGCAAGACTACATGGAGGAAACCACCAATGTAGCACATCACCCCAACTCTCACGACATGAGGTGACTATTGTTGGGATGTTTATACAAACAAGTTAATGTGGGAACCATAGTATCCAAGTGGTATGTTGTGGTAGTGATGAAAAATTATGTTACATTTATATTTCAAAAGATAAGCATGCCTTGATACTGCCATTAGGGCTTAGGAGAGCAAGGTGAGACGCTTACATTACCCAGATTGGGTCTTTCGTACTGACTTGAACACTCATCTTGCTTTAACTTGACCAATAGTGTTACGTTCTGAGTCTTCCAGCTGAAAGACTGGGCTTTCCTTCTTGGGTGTGTGTCTATGTGTTTAGGAAGGTCAGTGATGGAAATGGAGCAAAACAAAAGAAAACAAGACCGGCTTATGGATTTTCAGAGATTTGGGGCAGTATCTAAAATGACAACTCGTCATTACAATGTTTCAGACATTGAGTTGCTTTTTGTCCATTTTAGAGCAATAACCAGATTGAGAAGATCACAGGTCTGGAGGATCTAAAAGCCCTGCAAATCGTGGATCTGTCCAACAATCAGATCAGTAGTCTCCAAGGCTTAGAGAATCATGACCTCTTGGAAGTTCTCAACCTAGAAGAGAATAAGGTAATGTCCTATTTCATGCGGCTTGGTTTCAGTGTCTGCATAAGTGTGAGGACCTATGCGAGACTTCCCACAAACACCCCACAAGGACTAGCTCATTAAATGCCAGCTTAGAACTGTTATTCTAGCAAACCTCCTCGAGCGGCAGCTGTGGAAGAACTGTGTGTGCGTGTGTTTCAATCAAGCTGTGTAATTCTTAGTTTTCAAATTTGGTAATTTCTAAAGACCTTGCCTTAAACATTTGAACTGGATCCAAGTGTGAGCGATTATCTGAAGTACATGTGTTTGTGTGACATTTTTGTGTAGTAATTTGGCAGTAGGAATGTCTGAAGTGTGAGAACAAGGACACTAGGGTGTGAGAACAGCCCCAGGTGGACGTTTGCCCCATCTCAGAGAAGAGGCACAGGAAGCAAATTGCTGTATCCCGTTGGTTAAGAATTATATGTGTTCCAATCTGCATGATGAGTTGTGGATTGGATTTATACAAATGCTCACATCTGGCTTTAGTGAAGTTTACTTGACAAATTATATCATCTTAAAAATTCTTAATTAAATTTTCATCTTTAATGATTCAAAGCTATTTTATTGCACACTGTAAAGTAGTGTCTCCACATCATGTCCAATGGCCTTGGTTACAATCTGCACATTGTTTCCCATTGTTTCCATCCTAGTACTGCGCCCATTTACTTAGTCTCATTGTCCCCCAACCTTCTCGTCTATGCTTTAGAATAACTGTCTCTCACTTGGTCGCATGTAGATAATTTTTTAAAAACAGTACAGAACTCGTGGATGGCATTCTTGACTTTTTGAGCAAAGCTACTATTTTGTTATGGAGCTCTGGTAGCATAGTGGTTACGAATCAGGCTGCTAACCTCAAGGTTGGCAGTTTGAAACTACCAGCTGTTCCCACAGGAGAAAGAAGAGGCTTTCTGCAGCCTTGGAAACCCTGTGCGGGGTCACTATGAGTCGGAACCAACTCCACGGTACTTAACAACAACAACAACACTATTTCATTAAAAGGTAACTTTAGGGGACAGTTTTAGTGCAGAGAGTTTCTCAGGGCAAGAGTTTTGAGGATTCTTCCAGTTGCATTGGGTTCAGAGGATTTGCAGTTTGGTTCCATGTGCTTCTCCATCAGGATCCATCTGTTGGGACTATGATTAGAAGATTTGGTAGTGGTAGCTGGGCACCATCTAGTTCTTCTGGGTCTCAAAATAGAGGAGGCTGTGGTTCATGGAGACAGTTAGTCCTGTGGTCTGGTTGCTTCTTGGATTCTTGGGGTTCCTTCTTTCTCTTTTGCTCCCAATGAATGGAGACAAATGGCTTTATTTTAGATGACAGCTTGCTGTCTTTAAGACCCCAGACTTTACTCATTACACTCTTGTTGTTAGATGCTGTTGAGCTGTTTCCAACCCATAGCAACCCTACATACAACAGAATGAAATACTACCAGGCTCCGGGCCATCCTCACAATTGTTGCTATGCCTGAGCCCACTCTTGCTGCCAGTGTGCCAATCCATTTCATTGGGGGGTCTCCCTCTTTTTCACTGACCCTCCACTATACCAAGTATAATGTCCTTCTCCAGGAACCTGTCCCTTCTGATAATATGTCTGAAGATGAGACACGAAGTCTTATCAGCTTGGCTTTTAAGGAGCATTCTGTGGTTATATTTCTTCCAACATGGATTTGTTTACTCTTCCAGCAGTCCATGTTATTTATCACACCAGGATATAGAAAATAAACTTCATGAACTATATTATGCCAGTTGACAGAGTTGTCCCATAAGACTATGACCATAAGTCTTCAAACCAAGAAGACTAACTCTGTAAAGTGATTGGTTATGCATAAGTATCAGCATTGTATTACATATATATTGTTTGTTGTTATTGCTGCAAAATTGCATATAATATGTTGCTGTTGTTGTGTGCCATAAGTTGGTTCTGACTCATAGTGACCTTGTATAGGATTTCCAAGGCTATAAATATCTCGGGGCGCAGAAAGCCTCATCTTTCTCCCATGGAGTGGCTGATGGATTTGAACTGCTGACCTTGTGATTAGTAGCCCAACATGTTACCCTCTATACCACTCTTGCCCCTTATCCGTATAACATGTTGTTGTTGTTGTTAAGTGCCATCGAGTGGATTCTGACTCATAGCCACCCTGTACAGTTTCTGAAGAGCAGCTGGTGGGTTTGAACTGCCAACCTTATGGTTGGCAATCCAGTGCTGATCCTATATAGCGCCATGCCAGGAGTCCATATAACATATAATGAGGCTGACTGTGATGATGATGAAAATGAGATCATGAAGATGAGGAGGATGAAGAGGATGATGGATGGAGAGGGTGATGATGATGGTGGTGGTGGTGATGGTGGTCAGGATGATGATGATGGGGATGAGGATGAGGAGGATGAAGAGGAGGATGATAACTGAAGAGAGTGATGGTGAGGAGGAGGAGATAATGAGGCTGCGGATGATGAGGAGGATGGTGATTATGAAGAGAGGGACAGTAAACTGAGCACTTGTCGTGTACTGAGGTCTGTCCTAGGCATGGGAACACAGCTGTGGCAAGACAACCATGGGCCCTGCTTTCCTGGGACCTGATCCTAATGACGGTGACAATCAAGGAACAAAGAAACCGCTAAGTGTAAATGAATAAATGCATGTTATATGGACCAGTTCATCTTTTTTCTTGTGTATAACTAAGTGGCATCAGTTATATTGTTCAAGCTGTGCCAACTTGACCCACATTGAATTCTACCTTTTCTATTACCATAAACATTTTTTAAATAAAGCATTTGTGATATATTATGGGCATATTATGTTTGCTACCTATAACTGACTCCTTATGTAGTAAGGAGTGATTTTATTCATATAGAGTAGTTTATCACCCTGGTGTGGTGCTGGAAGGTCAGTTTGAACCACAAGGTCGCAATTCAAATCCACCAGCTGCTCCTCGGAAACCCCATACAAGGTCACTATGGGTCGGAACCGACTGGATGGTGCTTAACAACAACAATAACAGATCTTATCACGTATTTTGAAATGTTTATAAGGAAGTTGAATGTTTATTACTTCTTGCAATTGAACAGCTGGGCTGACTCTGAAACGGGCAGGACCTGAAAGCAGACGTGGTGCCTTTGTTCGGTTGTGATGCGGCTTCTTGGTTCCATTGTTTAAAGAACTCAAACTCATTGCTATTGAGGTTTTGGTGACTCATAGCGACCCTGTAGGATGAGTCCAACTGCCCCATAGGCTATTGCTCCAAGGCTGCAAGTTTTTAAGTAAGTACACCGACTCCTCTTTCTCCTGTGGAGCAGCTGGTGGGCTCGAACTGAGATCCTTTGGTTAGCAGCCCCATACTTAATCTACTGCACCACCAGGATGTTTTCACTGTTTGTTAGAGTCCTAAAAAGTCAGAAAAGTCAGCTGTTAGGTCTGGGAATAAATGATTTTTCAATCCTGGACAAAACGGTTTGTTCTCATTCTCACTTAATTTGAATATTGAATTGCTTTGACAGCATCTAAAGTCCATTTGTTCTAATGGCGGCCCACCATCGTTTACTGTGTTGTGTATCTGAAGGAGCCAGTAGCATGTCTGCTTTATATGGTTTTAGTGTCTTCGCCATGCTTTCATCACCGTAGACTAATTTGTATAAATCTCCTACATGAAACAGTTTTCACATATGTGAGGGGACTTCACCAAGTTTGTGGTGAAATTCCATTATCTTTTAATTCTATAAACTTTGAAGCCTCTACGTATACAGGGATATTAAAAAGGTGGGATACACTTATTAAATCCATACTCAACACATCTCAGGATGTACAAAGAGGAGCAATAATAATAACAATTACAGTAATAAAATGTCCCAGAGATTAATATCGATTCTAAGTACTTTACGTATTATCACCTCATTTAATCCTTATTATAACTCTTATATGAAATGATATTTTTATCACTGTTTTACAGATGAAGAAACCAGGGCAGAGAGAGCTTAAGTAACTTAGCCAAGGTTATATATCAAGCACATGGCAGAGAAAGGATTCAAAGATAGAATGATTTACTTTCAGAACTGATAGTCTTAACCTGTGCAGGGGATTGTGGTGTGTGGAATTCTAACACCTCTCTTTAGATAAGCGTGTGGGCCAATGCTCTAGAACAGCCACTAAAAGAGCCACATATGTGATTTCAAATTTTTCTAGTAGCCAAAAATAAAAAAGTAACAAGAAACAGGTGATATTCACTTAATATTATATTTTCGTTAACTCACCATCTCCAGAATATTTTCACTTTAACATATAATCTACATCAAAAGAATTGCTGATGAGATATTTGAATTCTTTTGTTTCATACTAAGGTTTTGAAATCTGGTGTTTGTTTTAAGGGATTCTGGTGGTGCAGTGATTAAGCGCTTGGCTGCTAACCAAAAGGTCAGCGGTTCTAACCCACCAGCCCCTCCATGGGAGAAAGGTGTGACCCTCTGCTTCTGTAAAGATTACTGTCTTGGAAACCCTATGGGCCAGTCCAATTTGTATTACTATAGGGTTGCTGAGTTGGAATCAACTTGATGGCAGTGGGTTTGGGAGCTTTTGTGTGTGTGCATGTTTGTGTCTCTGCGTGTTATACCTACAACACCTCTCAATTCGTTCTAGCCACATTTTCAGTGCTCAGCAGCCACATGTGACGAACAGCTACCAGCACAGTCCTGTAAAACACCTACCAATAGAATACTGTTTGTTCTCTTCCATTTCAAGAGACTTTTCAAATTACATGTGGAAAAGCTTAAAGGAGAAAGGAACACCATTAAGTGAAGACATTTTATAATTTTATATTATTAAAGCAATTCCTTTAAAAAAAAAAACAAACACACACACACAACAGAAACTCCAGTGGCCATGTGTCCCAAAGGGAGGACTCCTTTGGCAACAGTTGGGTCTGTCACAATAACATAAGTCCCTGGCTCCCTCTGGGCAGCCTGGGAGCAATCAACTGTACTTTGAAA